GATGTTGTTAGTGTTTCGAACGCTGATCTCAGATCTTGCCATCTTATATATATGCACCTTACATCGCACGTGTTTGCCCTTATATGTCGCATACAACCTCAACCTACGTGGCCTCCTTTGCCTACAACCAACGCCCTACGTGACTACAATTGCATACAACTGGCACCCAACTTAACTATACCCTTGCCTACAACTAACGACCTACGTGACTACCCTTGCATGCCTACAACTAACGCCTTACGTGACTACATTTGCCTACAACCAACGCCCTACGTGTTTACCCTTGCCTACAACTGGCACCCTACTTGACTACCCTTGCCTACAACTAACACCCTACGTGACTACCCTTGCCTACAACTAACACCCTACTTGACTACCCTTGCCTACAACCTCCACCTTACTAGACTACCCGTGTGCACGTTCTGCCACCCTACGTGACTACATTTGCCTACAACTAGCACCCTACGTGTTTACCCTTGTCAACAACCTCTACCTTACTAGACTACCCGTGTGTACAACGTCCACCTTACTTGACTATCCTTGTGCACGTTCAGCCAACCTACATGACCTCCCTTGCTTACCAACCCTACGTGTTTACCTTTGCCTACAACTAACGCCCGACGTGTCTACCCTTGACTACAGCCAGCACCCCACGTGACTACCCTTGCCTACAACTAACGCCCTACGTGTTTACCCTTGCCTACAACTGGCACTCAATTTGACTACCCTTGCCAACTACTTCCACATTACTTGACCACCCTTGTGCACGTTCTGCCACCTTACGTGACTACATTTGCCTACAACCAACGCCATACATGTTTACCCTTGCTTACAACTGGCACCCTACTTGACTACCCTTGCCCACAACTAACACTCTACTTGACTACTCGTGTGTACGTCCTGCCACCCTACGCACTATATGGCTAGCCTACGTAACTATATTTAGCCTGTTCTGCTAGAATATATGACAAATACGACATATCTCCTATGACACTATTTGTTATAGAAAGATTCTTCCTATGACAAATATGGTTATATGTGTTGTGCGCATCATATAGGAGTTTAGGAGCGCTATTATGAACGCAAGTAGTGAATTTTAGATGTTAAGCGGAACGAAGTAGACTCGCCAATATTTGTTAGAGGAAGAATCTTCTTATGACAAATAGTGTCATAGGAGAGCGTATATGCGTATGTCGTATTAGTCATAGATGCTAGCAGAACATGTTACTATATATTGCAGGTATAATCGGCTGCGTGACTCCCAGTATCGGGCTGCTGCTGGGCGGATGTCAGAGACAACTGCCGCCGTTTTTTCCTGGTCTTAGCCGCAATATATCTTGTAGAATACAACTGTATAGCTAGTAAGTACGCCCTAAATTACGAATATGTTACAATAATATTAGGTAGGGTAGTATGTTCCGTATATCCGCAGATAAATTTGTTGTTCATTTCAGGTGTTATTTACACGATGAGGGCGCTTGGGCCTGCGATAGGATTTCCACTTGCTGGGTTGTTTAGCAAGATCTACGTAGACTTTTCCGGTGAGCCCGTACTAACAGCATTAGTGTAATGTAGAATGTTTTTTTTACTTAGTTCAAGTAACCAGCTATCTCGAGTTTTTATCGCAGGAATGTAAGTCTTCATAAATAATACGTAAAACGACGAGGCGATGATAAAGATGGCAGTACTATCTAAATCATGATTCACATTCAATGTGAGTCGTTTATTATTAACAATATATATTTACAATATTATATATGCAATATGTATAATTTTTATATCGTTAAATTTGTTTTAGATACGGACCTGACGCCCAATGACCCACAGTGGATCGGCGCGTGGTGGCTAGGCCTTCCAATATTCTCTGGCATCACGTTCGCCTGCGCTCTGCCATTCGCTATGTTTCCTAATTACCTGAGATCGAATGCGACAGCTCACAATGTAAGTGCATAAGCTGTGTTCAATGTGTTATTATCGCAGCCCTGGTTAAAACCTACCCCGAGGTAGACGTTTCAGTGTGAGATCGTATCGAAAATGCTGGTTTCTCTTAGGTTAGATACAGTACGATTCATCTATCTCGACAAGAAATTGTATTGCAGATTGCGTGTGATAATTTTGTAGAGAATGTTTTTGTGATTTGTTCGTAATGTCGTGTCCACACGTGTTTTTTTTGTATGCGTGATTTTTTGTGATGAAAGGTACGTCAGACTCCATCATATAGACGACTTTATCAGAAACTGTTAGAAGGATTGCGTAGTAATTTTGATGTTGAACCCGGTGGAAATTAGTTCTATCGAGTGTGAAGAATATTCCCTATACACGTGTGGATGTACGATTGTGGCTCTTAATTTCCTGCAGAAGTCTAATGTAGCGGTAGAGCACATTGACTGTGACCTACAAGAACACCAGAAGGACGAGGAGATTGTTGAGATGATATACTACCATCCGAGAGGTATAAACACCGCCACATATATCCTATAATACACTACAATACCTATAATACCTACAATAACTGTTATATGTACTCACGATAACTATTATATATACTCGCAGTAATCACTACATATTCTACTCTCGTGTAATCAGGAGTCGATCAATTGATAGACTCCTGGTGTAATGATAATTCCTGCGTACTATAGAATAATATCAAAAGCTAATAATCTACAGAAGAAATGCGTAATTAAATTCATCATGGGTAAACCGAAAGTAGTAGAAGTTGAAATTGCAACGTTTTAGCGTCACGTACTATTTCCGAAATTATTATCTTTCTCGTATGTACGCACGCGTTGCTCTAACCTTGCAGAGTTTCTACGCGCTATGAGACGTCTGCTCACCAACGGTCTGTACGTCTGCGTCGTGCTGGGCGTCTGCTTCCAGTTCTACAGCATCATTGGCTACTTCGCCTTCCTGCCAAAGTACCTCGAGTCGTACTTCGGCACGACGACGGCCGTCTCGAACATTGTCGTGGGTGCGTACTGGTGCGGGG